CCTTTTGATAGATGACGGTTGGCATGGTCAATAACTCCGCCCCCACAGTACAAATATTTTTTCGATGTGTTTTGGATATTCCTTCTCTAATAAAAAGAGATACCATTTTGTTTTCGCTTGCATAAGAAAGAATAACAAGCATTTTTCTTTTTTAAGTTTAATTAGCCACAGTAAAGAAGGAACGTTGCAATGCTACGTGCTACATAAACGACGTCTCTAGAGTAACTGAATGACTGTTCATATAGCAATCGCAGGTATTAGTCTCATACAACAACGCCCCCTATAGTTCGTTGCGATCGCGAATTGTCTTTATTACTCAACATTAATACCACGTGTAAATAGAGCGCATTTGAAAACTGAATATAAAATCTGCCGCCAAATCAAGATCTGTCGCCAAAATACTATGCAATACACAGCATTTCCCTTCCCCAAACAGTGATGTCATTTTCGACCAATAGCGTGATCCGGCCCAAGTGAGAATTAATCCCTCGTGAAGGACGATCCCAGCCCTCGAACAAAGGTTCGGACCCTCCTCCTAGGAAGTGACGTTTTGTATCGATAGCTATTAGAAAGTGACCAATGGTTTTTGTTTATCATTTTATCCCGACACAATAGCGATCAAAAACATCGTTAGTAAGAATATGACTTAAGCATTTTTAACAGTGTAAGCGTAAAGCTAAATATTTCTTACCTGGAATATATTAATACTCTCATTTAATTGCCTTGCGGTGTATTGATATTTGATATCTTACGTGGCTTTTAAAGTTTTGTATTCATTTTTGTTATGAATCGGGTGTAGTTCCCATTTTATAATATTCCAAGTGTTACTACGATATTTATTTATTTTCCAATATGTATATCAAATATATTTTGTCACTCCTGATTTTATATTTATCTGTTGCATCAGGACTGTATTTTCATATATCAGAAACAGAGAGAAAATGCTTTATAGAAGAGATACCAGATGAAACATTAGTTGTGGGTGAGAAAAATAGTTCTACGATCGATAATGCTTGCAGACAAAGCCAATTTTGTGTAGTTAACTTTGTAGATTTTAACGGTTAACTTTTGGTTGAAGGTTAATAATATATTTTACAGTTAGGTTTGAATAAATCAGCTTTTACTTCGCTTAATTTGAGATTTCTTATGTGTTTGCTGGATACCTACTCTTTTTTTTTTTTTTCAAACAATCTCATTTAGTTCAATTTCCTAAGAAAAATTAAGATAATTGCATTTTATTTTTGTATAACTTGATGAATGTATTTAAATCCTTGTTTAAGATTACAAATTCTTTTTAAGCACAGAAAAGTTTGTTTTTTTTTCAATTCTAAAAGTAAAGCAATTATAAAAATGGTTCATTGCTTGATAAATCAATCTTACTATTTGAGAAATTGTCATAAGTGTTTTTAGCATATTTTTTCTATAATGCACGTATTTCCTTGCCGACTTCGATCGTAGGTGCCAAATAGATTTTAAACTTGCAAATTTTCTCTATTTATTACTTTAATATATGGATGTTTGTCCGAGGATGGGGTAGCTACAAATTTTTTTATTGAAATTGGTCCCTTTCTCTGATTTATTTTTTTGGTTTCTGATCGTAAGCATCCAAGATTTTGCAATTATTCTGCTACAGATCACAATACAGGAATCTCCTCCATTACTTATAATAATACATCAAGTTCTTACAATTAATCTACTAAAATATGAGCTAAGTTACGATATTGGTTTCAACAGTTTGCACTATATAATATAATGTATGAAGTTGTTCACAGTTTTTCTCTTTTATGATAATCTATTGAACTATCTTGCTAGCACATTTTATCTATTAGAAATTTAAATTTTCTTATTTTTTAATTTTTTCAAAGCAAAACAATAATTTAATCAGCAACAACTACATATTGAAAATTTAGTTCATAAGTTGTTACCTCTAATGCTCTAAGAGTTATTAAAATTTTGTCTTGATATAAAGAATTTATTTAGTTGGCCATATATCTTTGCACACAAGATGGATTATAAAGAATAGCAATTAAGAATTTAAGTGTACAATGTTATAATAAGTATTAAATCATTGGTCTCAGCCTTATAAACCTTTGTCTTTGTATACTCAGAATGATATAGCTTAAGTGTTAAAAATTATAAATGCATACCTGCCAACTTTCACTCTATCCGAGAATGGATTTCCAGAGTGGTTGTAAAACAATAAACGAAAAACAATCTGACTGAAAAATATATTTATAATTTGATCCCGTTGAAATTCGCTTGCGCAAGGATTATTA